GGGTTTAGTGGTTTAGGGTTTTAAGGTTCCAAAACTTGGGCAGTTACGGGAAAATGGGGGGTGCGGGGGTGTAGGGTCTCCGAGGTCGACAGCTTTAGGCTGGATTGTTGATGTACTTCGGTTAATTCATAAGGTTAAGGGTTTAGGCTGCTTACAACTGACCCTGAATGTGGACAATCCTCATGGCATGAGGTAAGCCGTACCTGAACCCTACCCAGACCTACTTTAGGCTTCCTCAATATGCGTTGCACAAACAAATCCTTAGACAGGCGGTTCCCAGGGTTCATGTTCCTATATATCATATAACACCTATACTTCGGCCAGGAAGCCGTCTCCCAAAAAGCTCTTCAAAGCCAATGTCTGTGCTGTACGATCTGCTACATCATAAACCCTAAACCATAGGTTATGAAGGCTTCAGGTAAGCTTTGAGCCACGCCAAGGGTCTGTGTTCTGCCCTCTGCATCTCCGTGCTTCGCAGAAAGCCATGGCTTGAGGCATGGCGTCACGGCACATTTGCTGGGGCCCCTACGTCCAATGGGGGCCTTAAGGCCAAGGCCCGAAGGCCCGGCTTAGGGTTGAGGGGTTTAGGGCTNNNAGGATTTAGGTTTAGGGCTTTGGGTTCAAGCGTAGGTGGGTAGGCTGGTAGGTTGGTTGCATGCAGAAAAACATCTCATGCATCTCCTCACAGGTGCATCGTGCTTTCTGCGTAGTTCTCTAATTTAGGCGCCCCAACTGGGTCCGCAGAATATTACGGCACCCTTATTATAAACAATCTTCTTTGACTGCAATCGAGGGCCGGGTGGGTCTGGTTATGCACTTGCTGGCTTTTCCTCAGGGTTTAGGGTTCAGGCTTTGCTAGGTGCCGGGTGTATATGTTGACAAGCACTACGAGACTTGTCTATGTGGCCACGGTATACTCTGCATGTGCCAATTGCTCCGCTGATTTTGTATCAGCATCTGATTTGACGAGAGATGTGGCTCCTGTCGTCTGGCTGCTTGTTAACTACCGTTATCTCTGCCATTTCTACCAATACTGGTTATTGCTTTCGTTACACTACAACTACGGCGGTTGTTGCAACTATTGTACGACTTCGCCCAAGGACGCGACTCGGCCGCTGAGTCCAATGGGGGCTTGAGCGGCACAGTCAGATGCAAGATCTTGAATGCATCAGTTGGCAATTCAGGGTTCGTTGGCGTTTTGCTGCCAGGAACTGATTTGGGTTGAAGCGAAGTATGTTGGGCTGTGCGACAGATTTGCTACCAAGTTGAAATCTGCAATAAGCCAGTAGTCTGCTGGAAAGAGCTGCGAGATAGTGTGCTTCTGTCATTGTAATGATCGAAGCTAAGGCTGCGAAGATCGATGTGACGCTCGGGGATATGCGACATAGAGTGCTCAGAAGGTCTTACGTCCCGGGCCTATTCTCCTCTTGGGACACCCTCTACAACCGCGACATCCTCGAATTCGACCAAACTTGGAACCCCACGCACAACCTGCAAAGCCCCCCAAGTGGCAGCACAAGCCCTTTCTCTTCTGCGCCGGTTTTGGCTAAGGCTAAGGTTTTACAGTGGAGGATATGATATTCAAGCCCCTGATGGAATCGCAACGTAAAGACTGGACCATATGCAAAGTTCGCTGCGTGGTTGCCAAACCCAGAAATCGAAACCCAAAGGTGTTGGCAGGAAGCGCGGTAGCTGCTATTTTTATGCGTCTCCACCTTGCATGCCACCGCCGTCCACTCTGAATCGATCGCCTGGGAAGCATAGTTCATGATGTCAAATAACCGCCTCTAGTTCTTGTTGTGCAAACCCTGGTCCCGCTGCCATTAACTGAAAACACGGGACCTGTAATAGCCCATGTAATCGGGTTCTTGTGAGAAAAAGCGATCCTCACCACTATTGTAGGATTTTGGAACTCCGAAGGGGTTTTTGGTACCTACATAATAGAAAGTAGGGTTTCTCCAAGAGGAATTTCCATCGTGATCCCCCATATAAGTAATTGCGACTCTGCGGGACTTGAGGCCACTGGAAAGGTTCTGCCAGGTGAATCGGGACCTTGCACTTCTGGTCACGGCAGAAGTAGTGGTGCAGGGGCAGGGTTTTCGGTTTTTGCCTCCAGCTTCGCAGGTTTTCGGCTCGGGGCTGTTGGGCCTCGAGTTTAGGATAGATGGCTTAACAAGGTTTGTCTTCGACACGGTGTAGGGTTAAGGGTTGAGGGGCATCCTCTGTACTTGGAGCTGCAGGTTGAGCAGTTTTTGCTCGCTTGACATAGATTGCAGACTTGGCCTTTTAGAACATTGACCCCTCCCCGATGACGAACACGGAGGGGGGAAGAGGTGGCGGGAGGG